ACTTGAGCCCAGGAGTTTGAGGTTGCTGTGAGCTAGGCTGACGCCATGGCACTCTAGCCAGGGCAACAGAGCCAGACTCTGTCTCAAAAAAAAAAGGAAAGGAATGAAAAAAATCAAAATGAAAATAGTGGTTTCTTCTAAGTTGTGGATTGATTGGTTACTTTTGTATTAGATGTTTGTAAGATGGGCTCAAACTAGAGAGAAGCTGTGACCACACCTCCACTTGTAAGGTCAATAAAGTTCCTAACGTGTCTAGCCAGGGACACAGAATAGTAGCAGGGAAAGGTGGCCACATAGAGTAGAAACGGCACAACGTCACATGGCCCCGAAAGTCCCCAGAGGGCACATAGCCGCAGTGACTCTGTTTCGTGAGTCTTGCTGGGTCAGAGAAGCCTGAATCCTTTCTGTGTCAAAAACCTCAGAATTCGGGAAGAACTTAAACACTCTGCACTTTATAAGAAATATTTCTGAGTATCCAGAAATTTTGAGCCAAATTCAGCCTGGGCAAGGCCACCTCCCTGTCAGGAAGGAAAGGCAAAACCGGGGCCCAGATCTCTGGACAGTGTCTCTGGCTCCAGCTTCTGACATCCAGAAAGCCTATTTTTTCACACTCATATTTTTAAATTCTCCATGATGGGCTTCACTTTGTAGTGAGGGGGAAATAGATAAAGATAAATGTAGTGTGTTCATACGATAGATATTATTCAGCCATAAAAAGGTATGAAATCCTTATGCATGCTATAGCATGGATGAACCTTGAAAACCTGAAGCTGATTGAAAGAAGCCAGACACAAAGACCACCTATTGTATGATTTCATTTATGTGGAATGTCCAGAACAGGCAAATCCACGGAGATAGAAAGTAGATGGGTTACCAGCGACTGGTAGGGGATAGGTAACTAGAAAGTGACAGCTAAAGGTTGCAGGGTTCTTTTGAGAGGTAATGGAATGTTCTAGAATTAGATAATGGTGACTGTAGCACAACTCTGACTATGCTAAAAACCACTGAGTTGTACACTTTAAATGGCTGAATTGTATAGTATGTGTATTA